GAAAATGGTCCAAAGAAAACATCTCTAGTATGCTTCAATAAAAGTTTCTCCATACATATTCACGTTGAAAATAAATTAATAAGTACTCTGTAATTAAATACATTTGATATTTATTATTCCATCTGTCCCTTAAAACTTTGTCAAGTTTCACTGTCACGATGATTAATATCGTAAAAATTATGTGGTTAAAATTTATCCAGATGAGAGATAATTATCTAGAATGATGACAAAGTTAGAGAGACATAAAAATAATTAAAGTTGACAAAGTTTTAGGAAACAACAGAAGTATTACATATTAATCGCTCAAATCAATTTTTAAGATTATAACTTTTTCATCAAAGTTTTGTCTTATTTAAAGTCGATACTTGTGGACGATCAAAAGAAAAACTCCATACTTGTGGTTTAATACCTCACAGAATGTAACAGTATTTTTACATCCTCCCACTGTCACATTGGATTTTGTAAAATCTCCTTTTTGTACAAAAAACTTTATTACATAGTACATTCTTTTAAAAATAATGAATTTGTGAGTCGACTTATTTCTCTTTTCTCTTCAAAAATTTCAATTACATAATTTTCTCTTTTTTATTTCACGTTAATAGCCTGTTTAATAATGACCAAAATCGGCTGAATTAGCTAATTTTGTTGAAACTTATGAATTTCTGGCTGAAGATGTTTTTACTTAGACAGTAATTTGCTAGTTTGGTCTGATCTGTTTAAGTCTGGTCTGCTCTAGTCTGTTTAAGTCCGTTCTATTCTGTTTAAGTTTGGCTAATTCTGCTGGTTTATTTCATTAAAAAATAAAGAAAAAAATTATATAAAAAATAGCTAAATTGATTCTCCGATGTACAGTAATTTCAGCTAGTACAACCATAAAATAATTTTAACCTCACTTTTTCTTATATATTACTACCTCCGTCCCGCTAAGAGTGTCTCATTTTATCTTTTCGGGAAGTCTCACTAAGATTGTCTCATACCAAATTTGGTGAAGTTTGTGTGGCTCTAAACCATTCTTACTTTATTCTTACTTTATCAATTTAATATCAACCACACAAACTCACTTTTCTTAATAATGGTGTCACCTTCTCTTGTCCCAATCTTAGTGGGAAGGAGATACTATTACACAATTGAACGTGCGAAATCAAAAAATACGTATTTGATGAAAAAGTTGACTGATAAGCTTGATAAGTCGAAAAACATATTCACCATCGTCCAACGGGAAAGAAATAACATAAATTCTTAAATTTTAAGTAACAATGCTCACTTACATATCATGTAAAAGGAATTAATTTGTTGGAATTTAAATGTTGTAATTCAAACGTGACCATCAATTTAGAATAAAGGGAATACCATCATTCTATCAGCTTTACACCATATAAATTATTTTTAAAATAAAATGTATAATTCCTTTCTTCTCATAAAATTCTTCCCGATTTGATTTGTATTAGTGATTAAGAAAAAGAGAATAGAGTAAAAATGTTAAGGTAAATAAATGTTAGTCACACAACACTTTTTTAGAAAAAAATTGATTTTTTTGCAGATATTCCAAAAAGGTAATTGGAAAGAATTTTAAGGGACCGATGGAATATTATACACACAAATTAAAATTGAGTAAATGTGACTACAAAAATTGTATACGACCTATAGTACGTACAGTACTTATTAACGATAGTGTGGATCGAGATCTCCCTAGCGGCTCTGCTGCGTAGGGCTTTTTCCTCCCTAGCGGCTCTGCCGCGTAGGGTTTTTCCTCCCTACCGGCTCTGCCGTCGCGTAGGGTTTTCCTTCCACCAATTGTTTGTGCGGCTCTTCTTCTCTAAGCTTCTAGATTGTTTCTTGATTTTAGATTGTTGTTTCTGGCTTTGGGATTTAGGAGAAGTGAGTGTAGCAGCATTTTTTGGAAATAAATCCAAGGTTCAACAAAGGATAATTATGATTCCTGTTAATGATCTAGAGCAGCGTTGGCTCAGTCCTGCAGTTGAGGAGGATGTTGGAGGATTAGTTTTTGGCAAATCAGCATGGATAGAGGTCGATGTTGGTAGTGGAGGTGGCACGGGCGACCAGAAGATGAGGAGAGGTGAAGGGCTGAGCAAGGGAGAACACAAATTGGCAATCCACCCCCTGAACCGCCACCTTGGAGCGATCGAGTTGCTAGGGTTTGGAAGTTTTATCAGTTATTGAATTTTCCATGTTTTTATTTTTTCGTTATGTTTTACGTTGCTCTGTTTTTTGAAGATGTCTTTAGTTTTAGGTCTACAATAATAATTGACAATTCTGTTATATATTATGTCGATGGAAGGATCTTTATGGTCAGTGATTGCTATGTCACACCCGCTTGGTGGTTAGCGATTCGTATTGCTCTTTCAGGGGTGATCGTCTCTGAGTCTAGCCGTAGGGTTGATAGTGCTAGTTGGTTAGGGATAATTATTGTTAGTGTTAGTCTTGTTGAATTTGTGGTAACGATCCGATTCCTTATGATATTAATATAGAGCGGTTTGTTTTGATGATAAAAAAAGGATAACGTTGATTGAATATTTCATGTACCCACCCTGTTTTTCATTAGCTATTCCTTTTACAAATTAATCATCAATATAATGTTATTTTAAGGCACGTTTGATGTCGATGAGGGAATACACAGGCAAAATTAGTATTCACAAAATTAGTATTCATTCCTTCAGGACATGTTGCAGAAAGAATAATAAAAGAGTATATAATTATTGTCATGTTGGTTGGAATAAGTTCATTAGAAAGACCCAATTGTTCCTTCTTTTAATATAATAATGCATTTTCAATCACTGGCGGATCCATAAAGTAAATTTGTTGTGGCATATATTAATTCAAAATCCAAACTAATTTTTATTATTAAGAGGATCAAAATTTCATATTGCTATATTAGTGGTTACAATTTTATATTTGTATTACTCTTATAAACCATACGGATTTGTGTGTGCATACATTCAAAAAGGGGCTCAAGACGACCCTCATTCTAGCCGTATAAACTTATAAACATGATAATTAGAGTTTAATTGATGCAATTTGACATTAAAGTTTAAAAACAAATATCAAAATCAGTTCCCTACATAATTAGACAAAAACTTTATACTGACCTTATCAATTATGAAGGTTTTAATACTAAAATATTTGATACTGCATGCATGAAGGCTTAATTTGTCAGATGTTACTCTATCCTATAATAGATTCTAACATTAAATTGACACACTTGTTAATAAAGTGAAAATGAATGTCATAGTTAATGTGCCAAAAGAATTATGCGTATTAACTACAGAAATTATTGCAAGAGAATTCCAAAAAGAGGGTAGTGTTGGACGCATGGCATAATATATTTACGTACATATTGTGTACGCTATTTGTTGTACATTTTTTTTTACATATTTTACGTATTATTTTTCTCCTATTCTCTTGGCCGTATAGCTGGAGTTACGTAGTCTAGTTGTTATCTAGTTTTAGAGATAGTTTTGTTTGATCTTATCACTTCACACGACTGAAGCATACATGTATATATGTACCATTCGTATCAATGAGAAGGCAGATCAATTTCACCGAACATAAAACTCTTATTTTATATGGTATCAGAGCGGTAGTTTGAAACTATCCGACTGACAACATGACCGGCGAGGAACCACGACGACGAAAGATCACCGATCCCTCATCCCTTACTACTTGGCGAGCTCGGATTCACCGGGTCAGAATATCTGCGGGTTCACCTTTAAGGGGGAAGGGAATTACCGACAATGGGCGACCGCCATGCAAAACGCCTTTCGCGCTAAGTGGAAGAACGGCTTTGTAGATGGCAGTATGACCCGACCAAACCTGTAGAAGACATCGAAGATTGGATCAATGTTAATTCGATGCTGGTAGGATGGACTATGACGTCAATCGACGCAATGCTGCTTTCAAACGTTGCCTATATGGACGACGTTCATGATCTGTGGGAGGATCTAAAGGCTAGGTTTGCCGTTGGAGACTCGATGCGGATTTATGAACTTAAAGATTTGATAAGAGGATGCAGGCATAATGGAGATACAATATCAGCCTATTATGGACGGCTGAACACCTTATGGGAAGAATGTGACACCGCACTCGAACGTCCTTAAAAATTCAATTTAAAAAAAATTGAACGTCTATGTATTGAATTCCCGATTTCTAAATAATTGTAAAACGATTAATGTTTTACGTAGCGCATGACTGATTATTGTACTGTTCAAACTTGTTTATTAGTGTCGGGTTTGCAAATACTTATTTGGGCCTTATTAATGAATATAAGAGCCCAACATCTCCCAAATAATGATACATAACCCTTCAAGACAAGTTGAGGAAGGACGGGCGGCCCAAACATTATTTTGGGCCCAACCTGCTAAAAATAGTAAGTACTCAAGGATGGCGTCCTAGGCTCACTCGAGGGTGACCCACACGGATAGTAGTCCAATAATATGAATGACAATGTCAAAATAATTGATAGAATGACTAGAGAAGAATACAAATGCCTATGGTCCCATCTTTGACATTATTGAGTTAAATAATGGGAGTAGGATTTTTTCCTTCTATAATATTCATCATGTAAATTATTGAGATGAGCCTACACATATTGGAGATCAATAATGTGATGTAGCAAGTTGACTTGTTCTAAATAAATTAGGATGAGTACAAAAAGACATCTTTTAGCAAAAGATAAAGGAATAGGACTCATTTTCCCATTTTTGGGAGTATTGGTAGATATTTTGGATCCCAAATTAAATGGGATCAATTGGGAACCATTCCACATGAGCTTTGTACCTGCAAAACAAAGAAAAATGGGTGAGATGACCCTATGGGGCGTACACCTTGACTTAAGAGCCACAACATTACAAAAAGAAATAAAAGATAAGGTCCACCACTTGTTTGATTGCAATCCAACATCCTATCATTTCTTTTTATGAGCCACATGATCTCTTAGCATGCTTAAGTCCTCCTATACATTCCCCCTACACCACATTCGAACCCCAAAGAGATAAGAGAGAAAAAGGATCCACACAACCCAAGAGAGAAGAGAGGAAGAGAGCAGTGTGCAGGTTCGTTCTTCAGTGCGTAGTACTGATTGTTTGAGCCATAACTCAAGATTCACTCGTCCAATTAAGGCGTATAAGATACCAAAAGAAAGCTCTCAAGACGAGGAATTCTTGAAGGTCTGGTTTGCATCAATCGGAGTAGTGGAAAGCTTCCAAATCGTCCGAGCAAAACACAACCTCGCAGAAACGGAATTACTCTCCTAAAGTGAGTGTTAACCCCAAAACTTTACTTTTCATTTTCCAAATGATATGAACGATTGGTATAACTATTATACACTACTCCAAGTGTATAATATGTCCTTGTGAAGTTATTTTATTGGTGTAATGGTTAGATACTAACCTAGATCAAATCTTGGAAAACTAGGAAACGAGTTAGCCGGAAAACAACCATTCTAGGGGCTGTTTTCGTATCAATGATTAGGGGTTGAACTAGCACTTTGAGGAGGCTGTTTAACACTCATTTAAAAGAAAGGAATCAGTTCTCAAACCTTCTTGGCCGAGTCTTTGGTCGTTGGATCCAGAAGGAAAGTTTTAAAGTCATTTGAGGTGAGGACCGACATCTAGTTGCTTACAACTTGTAGGTTATGCATGAGATTACCTAAATGCTTAAATCATGTTTTTGTGAATAAAGATGCTTGAACATGATATGAATGATAAGTAATGGACTTGATCATGAATTGAAAACATATTGATGAATATGGAGTCATATGAGATAGAAGTATGCTAATATGGTAAATTGACCTTTCCAACTCATGTATGAATGTTATGTGTATGTAAATGTATAATTGCATAATGATGCTTAGTAAATGGGAGGCTGCCACATATCTATTGATATGGAGGGGCTACCATTAAGAATAAATGAGTTGTAGGAATAATCTTAATAGTATTGTGATGCTAGTTAAGGATTGTTCTAAATGTCGATAGAATCAAACTTAAGGTTTGAGTTTGTTTGTGATGAACTTGAATAAGATTCAAGTGCCAATTGTGATTTCATGGAGTAGGAGATCTATGGTGTAATAGTATGAAGTAGGAGATCTATGGTGTGATTGTATGAAGTAGGAGATCTATGGGGTGAATACATGAAGTAGGAGATCTATGATATGATTACATGGAGTAGGAGATCTATGATGCGAGTGCATGATGATGTACTCGAGCCGGACTCTAGGAATGAGAAGTTATATTAGGGTTGGACCCTATGTATGTCGTGACCATTAGTCACGGGGTTTGGGAAATGTTTTGTAATAAACATGGGCCTTTGAGCCGACTATTTGACTTTATATAAAGTAAGTATATATTTTGAAGGGGTAATTTGGGATTACAGCCTAAATTATATTATCACCCTATTTGAGGGTCTTGTGTGTGAAATACTTGTTGTATATCTATTAGATGCCTGCCACACCAGTACTTTATAGCTGTATAGAGTACTGACCCCTTCGGGGGCGTCCCACCACCATTTCAGGTTGAGGCTCGAGCTTGCTACCTGTGCCCGTTGCTCAGGTGATCCTTTGGAGAGAAGACGTGGTTCGTGCTTTCTCCATTCTGTGTTCAACAATATTAAACATGCTCATGGATATTTTACTACAGAGCCTGCATGCTCGTGAATAGCCCTGTGTGTGAATTAAACAATGTTTCCGCTGCATTATGAATTACTTATTATGGTTGTTTATGGATGTTATGTGTGTGAATCATATTCAAGACGCTTTGTATGATATGAATGTGTTTGACTTTGGTTGACTATTCGTATTGTACGGCGGGTTGTTGACGTGTCCGGGTAGGTCCGGGTAGGTCCATAAACTTCATAATGAAGTCTCAAAATTCTCTTTTCAAAATGATTTTGAAAACCATGAGCATAAACGTTTTGTACTTGTAGAGCTTTTGGTACTTGAGTTGCAAGGTCTCTAATTGTTAAGATGGTACCCTTAGCAATTGGTATGGCAGCAATTTGAACCAAATAGTGTCTTAAGTACCGATCTGTCAATTTCCATTTGATACGAGTCTAACGACTCTTTCCAAATTTCTTTCAGAAATGGACCGTGGTGGCAAGGTTACTAGGAGAAACCCGACGGGCCGTGCACCGGTGGAGACTGGGCAGGGCAGCCGTAGGACCTCTAGGGCATCTAGAGGAGCGGGCCGTGAGGGCCGATCACAGACCGTGAGCGATGGTCACGTGAGCACCGAGAGTGAGAGCTGTTGGTCTTACGAGGACTCGACCTGCCAACCGGAAACCGAGCCGGTGGAGACCCCTTATGAAGGTGATGATGATGATGTTAGTGACGAGGAGGAAAATGGCTCCTTGGCAAGAATTGAGGCACTGCTCCAACAGTACCACTGAGAGCGCGAGGAGAGGAGGGAACGCCGGAGGCGCCGAGTGGGGCAACCTTCGGGTATGGCTTCGAGAGGAGGAAGCCATGGTGCTTCTAGAGCCCATGATGAACCACATGGGGGCCATGGTGATGGAGGTCCAACCATAAGGATCTCAAAATTCATCAAAGAGGCAGGAGATTTGGGGTGCAAATCTCCTCAAGCAAACCAGCTGGAAAGAGAGACCCGAGTAAACATGAAGGTTTAAACCTTCATGTTTACTCGGGTCTCGCTTTCCAGCTGGTTTGTCGGTTCTCTTTGGCCACCTGACTTTTTCTCCTAGCCTTTCCAAAGAATTGATGAGCCCTGTAATACTGACATTGAAGCAGTAGTCAGGGATAACCGGAGGTAGATCAGGATCATCGAGCCAATGCGTCATTGCCGTTACGGGTCGCTCCTCAGTCTTGGCATAAAGTTTGCCAGTTCGGTAGTCATGCCTTCTGGACGTACTGGATTTGCGGTGCCCCCCTTCGTAACTGTCAGCATGCGGTTGTGCCCGCAAATCCTCTTCTAACCTGATAAAGGCTAAGGTTATAGCCTGGACGTCTTCGAATGTGCGACAAGGAAACTTTGTCAATTCCCTGTATAACTCAGAATCATTCTTCAATCCCCTCCGGAATGCCTCGATTGCTGTAGGTATGTCGCATCGTGAGATTGATACCTTTTCCCTGTTGAAATGATGACGGTAATCTCTCCAAGATTCGTCGCGTTGTTGGATAATTCGGTATAGGTCGCTCGTTTGCTTCTCAAGGGTGCGGCTGCTTGCAAATTGTTGCGTGAACGAGTCGACCAGTTCTGCGAACGAATCGATCCATTCGTTTGGTAGGTTGACGAAGCAGGTCAAGGCTGGTCCTGAGAGCGTCGTTCAAAAACCTCGACACATACACGCCTTCCTCTGGTCCGGAGTGAGTGCGACGGCTAACATGCGCTGTTTGAATTGAGCGACGTGTTCCACTGGGTTTGACGTCCCATCAAACATCTTCATGGCCGGGGCGACGAACTTCCTGGGTATCTCGACGTTGGTGATACATCTACTGAAGGGAGACTCTGCATAACATGTCCTAGACGCTCTGTCCAAAGGTGGGGGAACACCTGGTAATTTGTTGATTTTATCCTGCATTTGACGCATTTGTTCCATCAACATGGACATCTGATCTGCCATGTCAGAGTGAAGTGGACCTTGAGAGGAAGACGTCGGTCCTGCCACTTGGATAACTTCACGACGTCGTTCAGGAAATGTCGATGTTGACAGCGTATCAAATCTGCTAAGGCGTTGTGTCTGGGGTTCTAAGAATGACACACTATGCCCGCTTCATCTGGCGTCTTGCATAAAACTTGATGGGCCGGCCTCCCCACCACTCCGATTTCCGTAATTAGGGATTGATGGCTCCGCAGGGGCAGAAGACATACCAGATGACGAGTTGGAGTTGGAGGGACCGGGATCTCCGCTTGTTCTGCTTCTGTAAAGGGGGATCGACGGTTCTGTTGGAGTGTAGTACGGAGTCGTCACATGCATGCTTTGAGTTGCCGCATGCAAGCCTGACCCATTCGGCCTGACCCGAAGAGATTCCCGGGAAAAAGCAGACTGGTATATTTGCCGGTGGTGTCGTCGCTGGCACGAGTGGCGTGTACGGGATGACCTGCGAGATGACCGTCGAGTATAGTTCTCCAGCCGGCGTTGGCGACAGACCCAGCGTAAGAGATACTGGATCCGTTGATGCCGCGGGTGGAGTCGTCGATTGCGGGGAGACGCCGAGATCCAACCTTGTGGCAGCATTCATAAGGTCAGTCCTCCGGTTGGGCCTTGAATTCGATGCTATTGACACTGCGGATTGTACCTGGGACCGGAGTACATGATAGGCACTAATTGTTAGTGCCTAAGTATACGTTTTTATTATTGTTTGTGATGTTTATTTACTATTATTGTGCAAAGTTTGTATTTGTTAGTTTGCATTTGATTGTAATTGTATTTCTAGCATTTAATTATTTTTTGTAAGAAATAGTTAGTTGGGTTTGAGAATAGGAAAGCTTGGAAGGCAAAAAGGATGCAAAATCCTGAGTTTAGGGCAAAACCCGGCCGGGTATGGAATTTACCCGGCCGGGTATGAGGTGAAAAACGAAGATTCTGAGAAGGTTCATGATATGCACTAATTAGTAGTGCATAAGTGTATGTTTTTATGTTTGATTTGTGTGTATTGTTTATCGTTTTATTTAGTTTGTAAACATTTGTGTGATTTTAGTTGTAATTGTATTTTAATCTTCATTTGTAAGTTGGAGAGTAGAATTAGGAATTATGGTGTTGGAAAGGGAGAATTTGAAGTGAAGAAAATGGAGATTGGACTGTCCAGGAGCTGAAACCCGACCGGTTATAACACTTGACCCGGTCGGGTAAGATTTAACAAACGAAGAAGCTCAGGAAATTTCCAGACCCGGTCGGGTCCCCTATTTCACCCGGTCGGGTCAGATTTGACCCGGGACATTTTAACGTGCTAAAACACAAGAACGTGGGAGATTATCTGATTTTGACATACACCCGGTCGGGTGGGCACTTGACCCGGTCGGGTACCCGGCCCAAGGTGTTGGAAAACACCTATAAATGCCCCATTTTCCTTCACTTTTATTCACTCCTTCTTCCATACTCTTAAGCTCAGTTTAGAATAGTATTTCTTTTATATTTTTATAGCATGTTTAGTCTCCAAATGAGGAGCTAAACTTCCATTTCTTGGTGTTGCTCTTGAAGCTTGTTGATTATTAAAGTTGTGAGTTATTTTCTTAACTTCTTCCCTTGAATATTAATTATTCTTTTAATCTATCTATATATTAATGTTGGGGAGTGTTGCTAAGATGACAATTAGTTAACATCTCGACATTAGTTATAGTAGTATTTATTTTCTTCCTCTATATATTAATGTTGGGGAGTGTTGGTAAGATGACAATTAGATAACATCTAGACATTAGTTATAGTAGGATTATTCATATTCAATCTTCTTTCTTGAATATTAATTCTTCCCTTAATCTATCTCTATATTAATGTTGTGGAGTGTTGCTAAGATGACAATTAGTTAACATCTCGACATTAATTACTACTAGAAACGATCAACGAACCGATGGTTAATCGTTGATGGTTTCACAAGTAAGTAACTTCGGTTTATTAATGCAGGGTCGTGGTTAATAAACTTAAGAGGGATTAATTTTGTTGGTTAAACCGAAACCGTTGTGTTGAGGTTATCAATCTCAATTGATTTCATCAAGGAGTTAAGAGATTAAATGCTACTATTAAGTCGGTATATGGCGGTGTTCTATACTTGACTAATAGTAAGGGTTATTAATGAACGGTCGTTGTTAATAACTACTCTCGATGAATTGGATATACTCCTCGATTGAGTATTTGAGAGGGGATAAGTTATAGATATAACAATGATCGACTAAAATATATCAACAAGTGGAAAGTAGCAATGCCAAGTCCTTTTTATCTTTGAATTAAATCACATATAACTCGTTCATCTTCGTGTTTAAATTTAATCAAATTACTCAATCCTAAAACCCCCCTTATTTACTACTTTTATAAAAAGAGAATTATTTCCTTTCCCTGTGGATACGAACTCTACTACGCTATACTACGTATTAGTGCTAGCATTGAATTTATTTTGAGTGCACACACGACAAAGTGCTCGTCAGTACATCATTCTGATATGCACTAATTAGTAGTGCATAAGTGTATATTTTTATGTTTGATTTGTGTGTATTGTTTATCGTTTTATTTAGTTTGTAAACATTTGTGTTATTTTAGTTGTAATTGTATTTTAATCTTCATTTATAAGTTGTAAAGTAGATTTAGGATTTATGGTGTTGGAAAAGAGGACTTTGAAGAGAAGAAAGCAAGAAATTTGACTGCCCAGGAGCAAAACCCGACCGGGTAGAAATCCCCACCCGGTCGGGTAAGATTTAACAACCGAAGAATCAAGGAAAGTGCCAGACCCGGTCGGGTCCCCTACTTGACCCGGTCGGGTCAGACACGACCCGGGACCAAACGACATGCAGAAACATGAGAGCATGGCGAAATATTTGATTTTGACGTTTACCCGGTCGGGTATGTCCATTTACCCGGGCGGGTCAATGCCCCAGGGTGTTGAAAACACCTATAAATAACCCCATTTTCCTTCACTTTTAAATCACCAATTCCTTTATACTCTTAAGCTCAGTTTAGAATAGCATTTCTCTATATTTCTTTTAGCATGTTTAGTCTCCAAATGAGGAGCTAAACTTCCATTTCTTGGTGTTGCTCTTGAAGCTTGTTGATTATTAAAGTTGTGAGTTATTTTCTTAACTTCTTTCCTTGAATATTAATTCTTCCTTTATATACTATTTCTATATCAATGTTGGGGAGTGTTACTAAGATGACAATTAGTTAACATCTAGACATTGGTCTTAGTAATAGCTATTCCTTCCTCTATGTTAATATTGGGGAGTGTTACTAAGATGACAATTAGTTAACATCTTGATATTAACTATAGTAGGATTCATTTTCTTTAATATTCTTCCTTGAGTATTAATTAATTCCTATTCATATTTCATATTAATATTTTGAACATTACTTAAAGGATCAACTAGTTTTGTTTCATATATTAATTATTACTAGAAACGATCAACGAACCGATGGTTAATCGTTGATGGTTTCACAAGTAAGTAACTTCGATTTATTAATGCACGGTCGTGGTTAATAAACTTAAGAGGGATTAATTTTGTTGGTTAAACCGAAACCGTTGTGTTGAGGTTATCAATCTCAATTGATTTCATCAAGGAGTTAAGAGATTAAATGCTACTATCAAGTCGGTATATGGCGTTGTTCTATACTTGACTAATAGTAAGGGTTATTAATGAACGGTCGTTGTTAATAACTTTTCTCGATGAATTGGATATACTCCTCGATTGAGTATTCGAGAGGAAATAAGTTATAGATATAACAATGATCGACTAAAATATATCAACAAGTGGAAAGTAGCAATACCAAGTCCTTTTTATCTTTGAATTAAATCACATATAACTCGTTCATCTTCGTGTTTAATTTAATTAAATCACTCGATCCCAAAACCCCCTTTATTTACTAGTTTTACTAAAAAGAGAATTATTCATTTCCCTGTGGATACGAACTCTACTACGCTATACTACGTATAAGTGTTAGTATTGAATTTATTTTGAGTGCACACACAACAAAGTGCACGTCACATTCTCCCGTTGAAGAAGTGCCATCCTCTCCGCCATCTCACGCCGAATCTCTTCTCGGACCGTCTCCAATTGTTGATGGAATTCGATCAACAACTGATTTGTTTCTTCCATGTTTGAACTCTTTCTTGCACGATGCCCCACGGTGGGCGCCAATTTGTTTAAGCAAAGAATAAACTATCCTTCTAAACAATTGAATGAATGTGAGGCTTCATGCAAGAAGCTGTAAAAACTAATATAAATAAACTTTGCCTTCAAAATTATTAATGAATATAAACACAAATTGCTTAGAATTTGAGAATGAAGATACTAGCAGTTCGAATGAGTAGTCTCTTGTTTTTTCAATTGAATGAATGCTTCGTTTACAACAGCTTTATTTAAATAATGATTTTTCATCCTAGTCCACCAACTAACCACCCACCGAAATAGCAGGGACTTAAGAACGTATTTGGCTATTCTTTTGCTCCAAGTTTCGAATTGTGCTTATCTCTTCTAAACGGTCCATTAATCCTTGATTTCGCTGGGCTGGATCCTTCTTCCTTTGTAGGGTTGGCTATATCACCCGCATCTGCGGATACCCGGTCAATCCGAACAAAAAATATAGACGAAAACCCGAAGAAGTATGAATGAAAAATGGATGGCGGGGAGACGCCGAGATCCAACCTTGTGGCAGCATTCATAAGGTCAGTCCTCCGGTTCGGCCTTGAATTCGATGCTATTGACACTGCGAATTGTACCTGGGACCGGAGTACATCATTCTCCCATTGAAGAAGGGCCATCCTCTCCGCCATCTCACGCCGAATCTCTTCTCGGACCGTCTCCAATTGTTGATGGAATTTGATCAACAACTGATTTGTTCCTTCCATGTTTGAACTCTTTCTTGCACGATGCCCCACGGTGGGCGCCAATTTGTTTAAGCAAAGAATAAACTATCCTCTTAAACAATTGAATGAATGTGAGGCTTCGTGCAAGAGGCTGTAAAAACTAATATAAATAAACTTTGCCTTCAAAATTATTAATGAATATAAACACAAATTGCGTAGAATTTGAGAATGAAGATACTAGCAGTTCGAATGAGTAGTCTCTTGTTTTTCAATTGAATGAATGCTTCGTTTACAATAGCTTTATTTAAATAATGATTTTTCATCCTAATCCACCAACTAACCACCCACCGAAATAGCAGGGACTTAAGAACGTGCTTGGCTATTCTTTTGCTCCAAGTTTCGAATTGTGCTTATCTCTTCTAAACGATCCATTAATCCTTGATTTCGCTGGGCTGGATCCTTCTTCCTTTGTAGGGCTGGCTATATCACCCACATCTGCGGATACCCGGTCAATCCGAACCGAAAATATAGACGAAAACCCGAAGAAGTATGAATGAAAAATGGATGGCGGGTGGATTGAAAGACGAGGTGGATCGGGTGTGGATGAACACTCATCCAACCCATCACCCGTTATATCCACCCACCCGCTGACCCGCATATAAATATATAATATATAATATATATTTTACTCCCTCTGTCCTGTTAAAATGGTCCGATTTTACCTTTTCAGTTCATCCCACCAAGATTGTCTCATACTTTATTTGGTAAAATTTGCGTGACTCTAAATCATTTTTACTTTATTCGTACTTTATCAATTCAATATCAATCACATAAACCATTTTTATTAATTTGTGTGTCACTCCCTTTTGTCCCATTTTAAGTGGGACGAAGGGAGTATCTATTTAATGATATATAATAATAATAATAATAATAATAATAATAATATTATTTAATATAAATATATTAATAGATAGTGAGATACTTAGATACGTATATATGTTACTCGGTTACTCCATATACATATTACGGAGTATATGTTCGGATGTTCCTGAATTACTAGAGCTCATCCGATCCCTAATCGGCTAATCTCATTAGCCCTATTTTGGAGGTGGATGCCTAGACTCATACTCTGAGAAGCCGGGATTCTGATTTCCGAGGGACAGGGAAGCGGCCGCTCAGTGAATTAATAATTGTAATATACTTAATTGCTCAATTATTAATGTTTTTGGTTTTTAATTGTCATGATTGTTTCTCTTTGTAATTTATTTATTATCTCAAGTTTGACCATTTATATTTCATCCGCTACTCACCCGCTATTCACCCGATCCACCCGATAACCCGTTCAAGATGGATGAGTTGGATGTGAATGTAAATTTTAATGGATGATGGACGGGTGGGTGGAGTATAAAAAGTTAACGGGTGGACGTGGATGAGCCTCCACCCGGTGTAAATCCGACCCACTGCCACCCCTATTCCTTTGCTGGATTTCTCCACAACTCCTTGCAAGATGGGCCGGCAACCAATAGCGTAATTAGTGGCCCAACACAGTGATTGTTGGAAAAAAGTGTGTTAAATTGCATTAAATGGTCATTTTGGGGCAATTTTTTGAGCGGGGTCCACTTCCGATTTGGGTCGGGTCAAAGTGGTTTCAGATAGTCCTTGCTTAGGGCTACAATTCGATATATGGTACGCTCAAAACGGATAACGGGTGAATGAGAAATCGCTTTTCGAAGTTTACCCGTTGGAATGGAGAAAACTAGGAAAAAGTGAGTTTTTGGTATGGGTTTTTCCCACACCGAAAATCACAAGGGATTTTGGACCCTTTATAAAGGGAAACCCCCCCTAAGGAGTTAAGATTCCCAAGGTGAAAGGCTCTCTCACGCGCGCAGGGGGGGTGCGAATCAAATCCCGAAACCGAAGAACAAAAAGCGCGACTTGCGTGTGGCGGCGACCTGCACACACGAATGCCGTCCGAAAATCTATATTCTAAAGATAACGTTAACTTTTGTTCTTCGCGACAAACGTTGGGCATTGATGTCCAACGTTCGTATGCCTTAAACAGGCCATTAACACATGCAAATCCATCCCTATAAAAGACTGGTAGCTGCTTTGCAAAAAGACACAACACACATACGTACTGCACTCTCTTTTAGCTTTGCAAAAACACATAAGTCATTTTATTTAATTAATTTTTATTAGTTAATTTTCTTTGTTTTTCGAAACACACCCAACAGTGATTATAACAAGAAATGAAATAATGATATGACCATAAATAAGTGATTATGATAAATGGTGCAATAATATAGACCATTAGCATTAACATAAAGTGCAATTATCAAATCTAATAAGAAAAACAAAAATTATAAAATCCTACCATGTTTGTAATGTCATCACATAACTCTCGCATATATGGAGTGCATTATATTTAATTAAACATAAAAGTTGAAGCTATTAAAACTAAAAATGATAAACTGAAGTGGCATAACTCAAGTGCATGAATGGCGAAATAAAATGTAATAAATGTCGTGCAATTCCGCCAGCATAAAGTGCACTATTTTTACTCGAAAGAAAATAGTGCAAATCTTTTTTAATTAAGTAAGAATATTTTCGTTGTTCCACATTTTATTATAACAAGAATTTCTTTTTTGTATAGTAAAAATTTGAAAACTGGAAGTATATATAGTAAAAATTGTACGGAGCATTTGAAAATAAATACGATAGTATTTATGAAAAGTTATGGCATATTCATTCTCAACCGCCAGGGTATATAATATTGCACTTATTGGAAAAGTAGAATTTCAACTTACAGATGCATTACGTACATATCAGACATAAAGACGGGTTTTTCATCAAAAAAAAAAGACATAAAGACGGGCAAATGTAATTCCTAGTTATTCGTAATACATTTGAATATTCTTCATTGGAAGTTGTGAGTTATCCTTTGAGATAGAGATTGCTGGATTGGGTTGTGAGGTGGAGAAGTAAGGCCCCAAAACTTGGATAAAATTATTCGAACTTTTCAGTGGATATGGTTGTAGGTAGTTATCCAATTCCATGGAGACAAATTAGAATTTCTTTTCTTTTTTACTAGCACCAAAAGTGTTTATTGTGTTTATTGTAGATGTAGCATCATAGAAATTGCTATAATATAGTATCTATGAAACATTATTGTACCAAAAAATGCTACAATAAGAAATTAAAAGTGCTACAATACATCTATTGTAACATCATTCAGATGCAACATGCGAAAAATGATGCACGTGATATATTGCGACATTTTTGACACCTATTGCAACATTTTGTGCATGTTACAAAAACTATATTTTGTTGTAATGTTTGAACGAAAGATAAATTTGAATTTCTCTTAAATCCCAAAAGCTTATTTGCAATCGTAATGATATAAAGCGCCTTAATTTTCTAATCTAATAGTTTAAGTTTCATGAAAATCTGGTACATATGTATTTGTTGTTGTCTAAATCTAATTGGATCTAATCAAATCTAATTTGTGTAATAACTCCAAGCAGATTTGACATAGAAATAAGTCCAAAGCTATATTTGCACTATAATTCCAGCTCCAGTTGAACTGAAATAAGATAGATCTAAACAATCAATTGACGTATATAAGATTGTTTAGATAAAAAGGTGATCTTAACTTGATTTAAATAATTGGTCAAAAAAAGCTTGATCTAATTAATAATGGAGAAATTCATACTTTCTGATTCTACAATATTAATCCGTACTACAAATATTGATAAAAATAATCCAAACTGAGTAAGTCATTCACGTAAATACATTAAATGAAACAGAGGTAATACTTCCATTTTATATTGCCCTGCTTTGCCCATTTACCACTAATCCCACCTTACTTCTTCCGCGGCTCACCAGTTCTCTCTTCTTAGGCTGCAACCTCATCTCCCCTTATCTTTTCTTCTACCTCTCGCGGTCCCTTTCAACCTCACAGAACAACCAAATAACATTGTATTTTGAGCAGACAACTTTATATTAACAATTTATTATTTATTATTGTTACTATTGTCATCACGTTTAATCTTACTCGGCCACTCATCTTGTTTGATCATCGAATAGAGGGTCCGTCCAGGTGTCCAGGTTTTGATACTGAAAATAGTTCTCCCGAAAGAGCTAGTTTTCTAGAAATCATTGAGTACTTGAACATGTGATCTTTAAAGAATTTTATGGACATGTGGTGCTGTGGCGGTGGGTTTGTGATTTGTATCAACGAAAGTTTGACTCCGTTGAGTTTAATCTATTTGTGTGAAGTGATTTTCCGGTTCGGATTATTTTATTACTATCTTCAGTAGAGATTATTAATATGAATTTCACCATTAATAATTATATTAATGGATTGTAGCATTTCAATTCAACTCTTTATTTAACTGCAAGTTTAAGATGATTTTACCATCTTGGTATTCCAATTACACCTTATATATATCAAAATACTAATTTTGATTGTAAATTTAGATTTGCTATTTCAACTATGTTAAGAAACAAATGAACTTCATTCAATTGAGATTTTAATTTCAAAAATACATAATCTCTGGATATGAAGTTTGGGGGAAAGGCATGGAAAGGTTCTGACCGTGAGTTGTTGGAGACAGAAGGGAAGTGAAAAACCCTTGAGAATAGTAAATTTGAAAAAACAGTCTTAAAAGAAATTATAATGAAACACATTTTTAAAATATGATGAATTTAAATAGTTGAATTGATTTATTTTCCATTGAGCTTAAATTATCGTTTAGTTAGTTATCCTTCAAAAACCTATATTTTAGAGAAACTAAAAAATTGAATATCACAGGTTTTGGGGAATAACAAAAACCATTTCTCCAAGTTTTTAATTTAAATTTAGAATCGGGAGGGTCATCACCCATCAAAGTCTTCCCCTCTCTCCAAAAATAAACTCCCAAACACCCTAAGTGAAACCTCACCATTCCATAACTCATTGCCTCCAAACTCCAAATTTAGTTGTATCAAGTACGGTATTCACGGTGCACTTATTGATGGAAGGTCTGGCTTTGAATTACAAAAAGAATATATGTAAACTTAGGACAACGGTATAAAACTGGTTGCAAACCTGATAGTCTGATACATCAATAAATAAAATTCACAGTCAATTGATACAAAAGTTTCCCGAACAATCTAAATTTCCCCGCTAATTTAGCACAATATATATTCACTCAACACAATAGAATTTAATTAAATCATTACTTTTATTATTATACATTAAATGTTTACGTATACGTTTTTACTTATAATTATGATTAAACACTAAA